GGGGGCGATATGCTGACTCTGTAAACCGCTTAGAGAGGGCTGAAAGCCCTATGAAGCGGTATATAAGTCTAACTGCTATTGCTATTGCTGCAGGTACAAACAGGTACACCTGTGGTAGGATCCAGAGGTTAGCAAGTGATCTGGCAAGCTACAGCCAAAACTCAGCAGCGTAGATCCCAAAATGGGAGTCTTTCTCATATTCCAGCTCAGGGTTGGACTCACAGGTGGGTTCCTACCGGTTCGGACCGGTTCGTTAGAACCGGTTCGTCAAATCTACCGAACCAGTTAGAAGAGATTCCACCAGTGGACCCGGAAAGCAGGCCACACCTACAGAAGAGGTTCCAATAATTTTTGAAACCCACCACTGGTTGGACTAGAAAATCGTGAGATCCCTTTTCAGCTCTTATGATTTTGGGCTGTATGTTCATAACAAACCACCCCACCCATACGTTGTTTTCCCCTTGCTGTCAGACCTGCCCCAGTCTGATCTCCTAGGAAAGTGAAACCCTCGACTCCATTCGATGGGAGTGAAAAGGCACTTACACTAAGAGATGCTCATTGCAGCAGAGTGGGGCGGGATCTGAAGTCCCTGCACGGCAATACAAAACTAACCCCTTTGTTGCCCCAGCCCTACCCCCCATAGTCCATCTGGGTGTAACAAATTTGGCGCCCCTGAGATTTTTTGGGGGAAGCGCTGAGGTGTTACAGGCTGGTGAAATTCCAGTCCCAGGGTAAGTGGCCTCGAAGATTGAACAGGTTAACAGAGTTGGAAGGGACCTTATAGGTTATCTAATCCAACGCACAGACCCCTTCTCAAGCAGGAGACCTTACACCTGTGATGGCAAACATATGACATGCGTGAGCCTCTTTGCGGGCAAGCGCACCGTTGCCAGCTGCTCTTCTGGTTTCCAATGCGCCAGCCATCTGGTCTTCGCTGGCCCCGGACCACCAGAAAAACGGTCTAAAAATGGCTATGATATTATTTTTTCTGGCGGATTAGNGTTGGATGGCCTTGCAGTCCAAGGGACTCAATGCAGGAGTCTTCTCCAGCACCGGAGTTCATGGGCCTCCATTCTTTGGCCTTCAGCCTCTCTTATGGTCCAACCTCCACAGCCATCCATTGCAACTGGGAAAACCATAAGCCTTGGCTATACGCACTTGTGTTGGCAGTGCAATATCTCTGCTTTTTAGTCTGCTGTCTAGATTTGCCATCGTTTTCCTCCCCAGGAGCAAGCGCGAATGCTTTAAGCACTGAATGTGTGGATTTTCCCCACCCCCTCTTTGAAAGAGATTTTTGCATCTCACCGTAATATGTCCTTGACTTAACAGCCACAACTGGGCTCCAAATTTTCCATTGCTAAGTTAAAAAAACAAAACAAAACCACTTACTAAATGTCTCACTTAGCAGCAGAAATGTCAGGATCCAATTGGGGGGGGTCGTAAGTCAAGGACTGCCTGTATAATACCTGTTTCACATGCGTGCATAATTCTAAAAGGCTAAAACGAAGCCAATCAGACCTGGGCCTCCTTCATTTCCGAAAGATAATAGAAAGCTGAACGTTTCTCCCGCAGCACTTAACAGAAAACCCATCTTTTGAGTGACGCTGCTGTCACCTTTGATCATGACAATGAAGCCTGGTGATGAGATGATGGGCAGATCGGACATGATGGGATGTACAACCTTAAGAAGGGCCCCCTCGACGCAGGGGAGGTGTTTAATCTAGTATAGGCATTACTGAACGCTTGGAATTGAAATGTCCTTTCTCTGCCCATTGTTGGCAGAAAATTCAAGAGGTGGGATTAGTTTGGGGGCCGAAGGGGGGGGGGATTTCCTCTCAAGGGAGCCAGAATCGAAGGCAGCATCTCATTCTTCAACTGCCAGCTAAATGACAAAGCGTCACTCTTTCCCCCCCCCCCCCGTCCTGTAAAATGAACCATTGCTGATCCTTTCTCTAAGCGCTAACAATTAGAGCATTTTCTTTGCCCCTGGCAAAACCTTTGTCAGTGGCAGAGGGATTTTTCGAGGGGGGGAGAGAGAGAGAAGGGGGGGAAAGGGAGGGAGAAAGTGACAGTGAGAGAAAGAGAAGAGAAAAATAACAGAGAGAGAAAAAGAAAGAAAAACAGTGTGAAAGAAAAGGAAAAAGAGAAAGAAAAGCAGAGAGAAGGTAAGAGAAAAGAGAAAAAATAAGGGGCAGAGAAAAAGAAAGAAAAACAGGGAGAAACAGGAAAAAGAGGGAGAAAGGGACTGAGAGAGAAAAAGAAGAAAAAAGGAGAGAGAAAAAGAAACAAAAACAGAGAAAGGGAGAAAGAAGCAAGAGGGAGAAAGGGACAGAAAGAGAGAGAAAAAGAAGAAAAAAGAAGAGAGAAAAAGAAAGAAAAACAGAAAGGGAGAAAGAGACAGTGAGAGAGAGAGAGAAAGAAGAAAAAAGAAAAGAGAAAAAGAAAGAAAAACAGAAAGAGAAAGAGGAGAAAGAGGGAGAAAGGGACAGTGAGAGAGAGAGAAGAAAAAAGAAGAGAGAAAAAAAAACAGAGAAAGGGAGAAAGAGGAGAAAGAGGGAGAAAGGGACAGTGAGAGAAAAAGAAGAGAGAAAAAGAAAGAAAAAGAGTGAGAAAGAAAAAGGCAGAAAGAGAAAGAAAGAAAAACACAGAGGGAGAGAGGAAAGGAGAAAGGGACAGAGTGAGAGAGAGAAAGAGAAGGGAAAAATAAGAGAGAGAAAAAAAGAGAAAGAGAAAGAAAAACAGGGAGAAAGAAAAGAAAGAGAGAGAGAAGTAAGATAAATGAAGTAAGGATTATTTTTTCACTGTCATTGGTTTCTTCAATTAAATGAATTCCCTCGTTGGGTCTTTACTTCCCTTTCTGTACGTTTCCAGCATCAACGTGGTAGGAACGGGCATCTCCCTACATCTCAGCATTTGCGACGCTTAATTTTCGCAGTGTGGCCCAGGAGGAAGAAAAAAAATAAAGGCAATTCAGGCTGATTCTTTTTTTTTTAATGGACCAGCGCCCAATATTTTGGAAGGAACGGGAAACGTTTCCCGTCTGAGGTCCTGGAAAGTTAGTCCCAGTTGGAAATTTCTCAGCCAGATGAATCAATGACTTAACTTGAGATTGAGCTTCCCATCTTCTGTCTAATCCTTACGCCTTGATTAACGCCTTTATCTCTTGTGGCTCTAAAAAAAAATAATGTACACAAAGCTACTTTTGTTTTCCACCTAGTTTACAATCAAGCCTCTGGACAAGAAGATTGACGTCTTCAAATTCAATTCCTCAAAGCTGCGGGTCAATAAACTGGTAAGGTACCGCATCCTCGTTACGTGGGAGAAATTTCACCTGAGCAGAGAAAGACACTCATTTCTCTTTCCTGCTACTGAGACATGCTTGTATGCTGAGAGAGCCAAGGTGGTGCAGTGGTTAGGGTGCAGTACTGCAGACCACTTCAGCTGACTGTTATCTGCAGTTCAGCGGTTCAAATCTCACCGTCTCAAGGTTGACTCAGCCTTCCATCTTTCCGAGGTGGGTGAAATGAGG